AGCTTGGCCGTTTTTCTGACGCGATCTCTCCTGTGCGAGACGTGCGGTTTTGCCTGGGGGCACGGGGGAGGGAGGAGGTGGAGACTGTCCTGGTCGCAACAGCTAGCTACCTAGGGAGCCAGCGAGGTGGAGAAACAGTCCTGCTCAAAAGATTTTACTATCCTCCTGCATCATTTTGTCTGTAATGTTACACAATCTATAGTTCTCTTCTCCCCTGTGTTGCCCTTTTCATTGCCTTGCCAGTTAGTCAGTAACTGTGCAGAAGAGAATACAATAAATGAATATAATACTGGCCATAAGCAGCATGTACTTTTAAAGTAATTTCTACATTTCAGGAGATTGTGCTGTTTACCAGGTCCTTCATTTGCATACCTGCTTCAGCTGAACATAGTGGGAACACACTGTGGCCACACCGAGTACTAGGTAGCCACTTGTACTTGGGGCTACCTGTTGTCAACCCCACCTCACGTAATGCTGGCCTTAAAATTGTAGCTACTTTTGAGTGTACTGGAAACATGTGAGTGGAACTGCATCTACTCCTATGCCTTTAGTTTGGTTGCGCTTAGCTGTTTAAAGGGTGCAGTACTCAGGACTGTCCACTAAGGGGAGCTATGCAACTTCAGTTAGTTTTCCCAGCGTTCAGCGATACCATGCGCAGGGGGCAGGAACTGCACTCCACTTGGAATGGTTTCGACCAATCACGGCCAAGTTATTTTAAAACCTCTCCTGTTTGTGGGAGTGCGAGTGTGTGTGGCACTGCAATTCCTAAGAACACCTCCAGACATCTGATTTTAATTCAGCAGTTTTCTCAGACTGTGTGAGCTCTCTCTCTCTCCCTCTCTCTGTTTCTGTTTCTGGACTCTGCACTATTGCCTAGTTTCCTTCTTCTTTCGACCAGCGGCAACATTAGCAACTGTGCTTTGCAGGCACTGAAGGTTTTTCTGTGTCTAAGAAAGATAAAAGATAAAAACCTTCGGAAAGATTTTAGTTGGTTGTATCAAGCAAACTTCTGGCTACTTTTCTTAATATTCATTTTCAAACACTTTACCAACTTTCTTTATTCCCCAGAAAACCTATCATTAATGTCAAGCTCAATTTAGATACACTTGCTTGGTGATGAGAAGGTGAGTTACTGATCACTGATCTGAGATGAGCCTCAATAGATCCTTAAAGCCGAGATCTCTTCTGTGCAAGCGGAGGAGCGTTCCCAGATCAGCAGCGCTCTCTCGCCCGGGAGAGGACAGGGGCTTTTGGGCCGGGATGGTTCTGTGCCTTAAATGGCAGTGTGCTCGCAGCAGCAGGAATGTTCAGCCCGGGCCCGAGCGTATTGGTCTTGGCAGATCCTCGGGTGATTTTACTACCTCGCTGGCGTCATCGGTCCCGCTTAAAAACCGCCGCGTGTTTCCATTATTTAAAACCCTCCCCCGTCCCTGTCCGATCATAAATCACGACGCATCTCCCGGTAATGTGGAAAAAGAGAAAGGTCTGCTTTAATCTCTGTTTGAAAGCTGCCTTCTCGCCCCGTCGGCTGAACCCTACCCCCCTCAGTCCCCCGGCAGGTCAGCTCTGTGCCTCCCGAAAAGCGCCAGTGCACCCGCTAGGCCCTTTCCCTCCAGGATGTGTTGTTTTGGTTTGGTACAAGCAAGTCCCTGCGCTGACATGACAGCACTGTTATTAGAAATTTATTTAGTGCAAGTGGACTGGGACTGTGGCAGAAAATGGCTTTAATTGCTGTATAATACCCCTTCAAGGTCTGTATAGTAATAATGTATTTGCTAATGTTATAATAACAGTTCAGTATTTTTTTGTTTCAGCTGAGAGACACTTTGATTTATTTTTGGTTTGAGCGGTAATATTTCCTGGTAATTATAAACCATGTAATTATAAGCCACAAGTTTCCAAAATATGTCTAGTTCGTAGCAGGCGCCCTTGTGTGACGTGTATGACCTCCAATCTTTAACGTCTGACACCAATTTGTCATCCCAATGGAAAAAGTTTTTTTCCAAGATAAAAAACCCAAAGTCCCACACTGATAGACTGGGGCCAGGGACCTGCACAGTTACACAAAGAGGCAGGGTCCTGCACAGTTAGGCTGGTAACCAGGGTCCTGCACAGTTAAACAAAGAGGCAGGGTCCTGCACAGTTAGACTGGTAACCAGGGTCCTGCACAGTTAGACTGGTAGCAAGGGTTAACTGTGTTGCAGCAAATACAACTTCACACTAGAGTGTCTCCATTCAGCTCTGCACAGTTGACACCTCCCACTCATGTCAGTCTGTCATAAGTCTTGTAATTTCTGTGATAAAGAATGCAGTTCTGGAAAAGAAGTTATGTTTTTCCCGTTCATTTTCGACCAGCAACTGATCTCATCCACAGCTTGAGATTTCTGGGTATAAACAAGCTTGTCTGCCTGCAGGGTGGAGCTTGAGCTCTCATGTCCAGGTTACTGTGCAGCCACAGCTGTTCTAAACAACATCATTTACAGTGCAAATCAATCACTGGGGTGGCAGTGTAGCACAGTGGTTGAAGAACAGGACTTGTAACTGAATGGTTGCCGGTTTGATTCCCCACAGGGGCACTGCTGCTGTACCTTGGGCAAGATACTTAACCCACAATTGCTGCGGTAAATATCCAGCTGTATAAATGGACAGCATTGTAAAACCCCATACTTGATGTAAGTCACTCTGGATAAGAGCATTTGCTAAATGCCAATAATGTAATGTAACATAAATCAAGGCCATGTGCAAGGGACAGCAAATCGGTTCAGAGATATAGATAGGGCATAAAGATCTCAAAGTGATCATAAGTTTTTGTACGTAATGAGCACTACAGCTCATGGCTTGAGGCCCATGGTGAGAGCTCCAGTCACCAGCCTCAGCTCCATCCTGCAGTCAGACCCGTCATGCTTTGAGATCCATTTTCCGTTCGCTGGTTGGGAAACTCAGTACCCCAGTGACAGTGTTTAGCTAAATGTTGCCAGATGGTTGATTGACCTGCTGCACATATGCAGCGGTGTTTTCAAGAAAAAACAAAGTACTGTTGGCTGCGCCCAGCAGCAGTTTTGGGTGGGCCCATTGGCCCTGCCAGGTGTGGGGGGGGTGGAGCCCCATGAGTGGTGCATGCTGGGTAAAAACATGCCCTCTTCCGTGTCCTGGACACTTGGTTCCCCTTCCCCTGTCCTCTGTGCCTCTGCCAAAGCCCCTGGTTTTGCATAGGACGTCCCCGTTGGTTTATTCAGCCAGGATTTATGGCTCTCTCTACCTGGCTCTGTCCAAAACACTCTCTCTGTTTGCCTGCGCAGACAAATTATGGAAGATTTGTGAGCAGTTAATCAGTTAAAAAGATGCCTGGCAGCTTGAGCGGAGCACCAATGACCATGTACAGTATGAAAGCTTTGTGGGGGTGGGAGTGAGCAGGGAATGTGACAGAGACAGGTTTATATGGCATTAAATTATGGCATCGAGGGACACCATACTGCCGCAAACAGAAGCGTTCTCACCTACTTACATCTCAGACAGGCAACCCGTACAAAACAATTATATACTGAGAATACATTTTAGAGAATATATTCCTTTATCTCGATCAATATGGTGAAAATCTGTAAATACCAAAATTGCCATTTTGGTATATTGCAATATATTTCTGCTTTGCATTAATATGCTTTAAATGTATTTTCTATATATTTTTGGGCTGAACAATATATTTATAAATATGCTACAATATATTTCATTTTTGTATGGGAAACCTGGTCTGTGAATGGTAGAGTTGCTTCTGAATTGTGTCCCATTCAAAGCTTTTAATACATTTCTGGATCAGTGATTAAGCTTAATTAGCACACGTGATCACATGACTGTAAGTCAGGCACAGACTTAGCCTTTAGAGAGTGGATTACAGAAGTGGAGATGCAGGGTTGCCCTCTCTCCCTAACTCCTGTTGACTCCCGTTTCCCATGAAACTGGGCCGGAGGCAAAGGAGGGCTGCGCAGTGTTTGTGTACGGCCTCCCTGGGGACGCCATGGGAGAACGGCATTCTGGGCTGTTTCTATCCTCCTGCTTACCCCGCCGGGGATGGGGATGCTGTCTTGGGCTGTCAGATACCTCATCACTCAGTGACTGTTGCCGTGGGTTACCAAACATTGATGAGAAAGAGAGAGGGAGAGAGGAAGGAAAATGAGAGGAGGACAGAGAGGAGAAACAAACAAATGGAGTCGGGGGGGCGGGGGTGGAGGAGGGGGCTTTTTATATACTCACTCTTGAACACGCCCCATTAAATGGAGCAAGAGGGAGATTGCCACATTAGCCCTTCATAGCAATAGTCTCCGCGTGTCGGGCAGATGAAGGTCACGGGCGTGGCACGTGCTTGCCCTCTGCTCTCCTCCTCTCCACGGCCGAGCCTGCACGGTGGGGTTTGGCCGACACCTGTCCCAGCACCACCGAAACTCTGATTTACCTCTGCTGGCAGGCCTTCCTCCTCCCTCATTACACCACATCACATTATTGGCATTTAGAGCGACTTACATAGTTACAGTTTTTACATGTTATCCATTCATACAGGTGGATATTTACTGAGGCAATTGTGGGTTAAGCACCTTGCCCAGGTGTGCAGCAGCAGCCCCAGTGGGGAATCGAACCAGCAACCTTTTGGTTAGGAGCCCTGCTCCTTACCACTGTGCTACACTGCCGCCCACACTCCCTCCTCCCTGTCTTCCTTGCCCCTCGGCGAGCGTTGGCAGCTTGGCCGTTTTTCTGACGCGATCTCTCCTGTGCGAGACGTGCGGCTTTGCCTGGGGGCACGGGGGAGGGAGGAGGTGGAGACGGAGGGACGTAAATCAGACGTCCTGTATCTGAGGAGGTCATCGTTCCGTTTGACTCCAATCTCGCGCGTGCCGGCGGTCGCTGAGATTATATCAGTGTTCCTGTAATGCGCTTGTTTGTTTGATAAGCTGAGGCTGCCAGGTTGCTGTCGTATTGACCCGCACTGCTGCCTGCACAAAGCCCAGCCTGCCCGTGTAGCATAGTGTTAAGGAGAGGGCTCATGACCCAAAGGTTTCTGGTTCGATTCCCCACTGGGGCACTGCTGCTGTACCCTTGGGCCTGGTGCTTAACCCACTATTGCCTCAAATGACAATAATATAATGTAATGCCAGGAGCACGTCTGATCATCATGTTGCGATTACGGTCTAGTCGGCCACACTGTGAGGTGCATTTGTGATTGTGTTTCAGCATCACACTAGGGTTGTATCTGTGCGCAGTGTGAGCTTGGACGCGGGTTCGACCATGCACCACAGTGCTCAGTGCTCACTTTAAACAGCTTGGTCGCAGAGCTGGCTGGGAAGCAGACACTGGACAGTAACTCAGACCAGTCTGGCACCCCACGCTCAGTGTACAAGCACGCGCATTTCACTCACACCATACCAGCTTCGCTTCATGTCTGTACATCTGTAGCACAATCAGTGTGAAACATTGTGTTTTTCTTTTCACCATTTTTTCCTCTGTATGTGTATATGACTGTGTGTGTGTTTATATATGTTTGATATGATATGTATACATATGCTGTAGATGTGTGTGAATGTGTGTGTGTGTGTGTGTGTGTGTGTGTGTGTGTGTGTGTGTGTTATAATGCAGACCCGCTCTGAAGAGGCACAGGGAAACTCAGAGAGAAGGCTGACATTGTGTCCAGCCTTGTATCTCAGCATCTCCTTCCCTCCAGCGTTGTGTAACAGTGAGACTCGTGTGTTCAGTTTATGGAAATATGAAAAATCTGAGCTGGGTTCTGGAAATGATGTGTGGTTTTAGGGTTTATTGCGATGGGCACTTCAGCACAGAGTTGCCCAGAGTGCTGACCACAGCAGCATCCTGAGGTAAGATCTGTGTTTACCCCCAGTTCCAGACCAGGACCGGAGCACTGGAGGAGGAGGGAGGTCCCTTGACAGACCAGAACAGAACACTTAATTTGTGTGCTGAACATTTACTTCTGTTCTTCAGCCACATTTTTTTCTTTTTCCTTTTTATGTAGCCGTTTTAATGTGCGCCGATGGGTGTAATTGGAGAAAGTATCATCAAAATCTGAATTGGATAAGCCAATTCTGTTCGTTTTCTCTCGTGAACGACCTCCTGAAAGAAAACAGTCCTGCCAAATGTTGAGTCTTTCTGCCAGAAGAGGGAACATGCATACGCTCTTTAACTCTTGTATGTCTGGAAAAAAATCACTGAATTCAACTCATTCTTAAAGAATTTTCTCTGTAAAAACAAATGGTTTACTTTACCATCATCATTTAACATGTATATCTCATTGGAGTTTGGCGTGAATTTGAACTTCTCTGGCCTTAAAGAGCTGATTTATGTTTGGCATCTCCAACCAAATACTTTCTCTGGGTTTTTTCAATCGCACAAAGTCAGGGTGCATTTAAGCAAAGTAGAGAAAGAAGTGTGCCCCAAGTTTTTCAGTACACTGGTAGTTTAATCATCAGGGAGGGCTAGACATCCACCTCTCTCATTCTCCCTTAATTTTCTTTTATTTTAAATTTCGTCCTGTTTCTACACACAACACTGAACTTGCCGGTTGACCAATGGAAACTGAGATCCATGCAATGCTCCTTCCTCTGACAAAGGTGAGGGGTGATGGTGATATTTACCTCCATCGTTGTCGTGGCTATTAATACAGTATCCCACAGCGGACAGGCCCAGCAGAGGGCAAACACACCTGCTAAAAATAGCAGGTGAAAAGGGAAAAGGCCACAAATGTCTGTGTGGGTAAACACAGCCGGGTCGAGAGTGCGCTGACGCTTCAGAGTAAACACAGGGGCCCGCAGTGTCTGCCGAAGTTCAAGCCATCGCCGGCCCGCGAAACGCTGGAGGCGTTAGAGAGACTGTTTTTCGCCGATAAAGGCTGACGGGTGTTTGCTTCTCGGCCCGTGTTTGTCTTTGTTGGCATGGAAGACTAGAACACCATTCTGTGGAGGGGCCGGAGTGTTCCGTGGAAGCTGACCACGGCAGAGAGGATGTTGGGTAAACCCGCGGCTGGACAAAGGGTCGGGGAGGTCAAATACCACAGCGACACTTTATCTGAGCCCCCAGCCCCCCCTCCCCGAAAGCAAAAACGGAGCAAAATGTTCAGGACGTGAGCAATACGCCACAGGCTAAGGGCCTCCTTCTCAGCACAAGTCTTGAGCGCTGCAGACATTTCTACATACCAACTCCTTCCTCAAATAACGACCGCACTCGGATATACATAGCAGTACATTATTTATGTGCCTAGCATAACGCCCCCACCCCCCCATCCATCCAGAGAGACTAACATAGCTCACACGTCCACAGTTTATTCTCTCATACGGCTGGATATACTGTCTACTGGAGTTGTTCATTTTGGGTACCTATCCCAGTGCCCTACTTGGGAATCATATCTGTAGCCTACTGGCTCCAAGCCCAGTCACTCTACCCTAACACTGCCTGCCATGGTTTTCTGAGTTGTGCCACTGGAGTTTTATTGTTTTATGGATTTTCTTTTCAAGTTTTATCTCTGCTTCATGTTCCTGTAATGTTCCTGTGATACGCTCCTGTGAAATGTTTGAAGCACGTGATATGTTCTGTCTGAGATGTTCTTGAAAAGCTCTTTTCAGCACGTTTTTTTTTATTCCTCCTTGCTATGTTAATTTTTGAGTTGTTGGGGACTTTGTCATTTACAGCTATTTTAAACACATGCAGTCGTGTTCAATTGAAATAACGTCCTGCACAAATAATGTGTACTAAGGTTGTTTCCAATGCTTATGAATTATACCATTGGCTGACAGCTATTTTAATCAAACCAGCAAGCGTCAAATCTCAGAAAGCTAGATAGCACATGTGCTACTCCTCGCTAACATTCTCTATCAGGTGTCCTGAAGGCAGTTTGCTTAGCTGTGATGGTAGCTTCTATAGCTAACTGCAACTGACGATGTAACAGTGTGTGGCAGTGTGGAATAGTGGTAAGGAGCAGGGCTTGCAGCTGAAAGGTTGCTGGTTCGATTCCCCGCTGGGGGCACTGCTGCTGTATTCTGGGGCAAGGTACTTTACCCAGAATTGCCTCAGTAAATATCCAGCCATATAAATGGATAAAATTGTAATCTATGTAAGTCACGGATATCAGCGTCTGCTAAATGACAATAATGTAGTATAATGTAAATGATCGCTGTAAATGATTGCTGACATCGTAAATGATGTCAATTTCAAACTGTGCAAATTTATTGAACTCATAGCACAAACTGTCATATATGTGCAAACCAGCTATCAGCAGTACATACGTCTAGCTGTCTCTCTACCCCTAAAACAGGGCCTGCATGTTACCCCTTCTAAAGCATCCGCTCATGTTTCTGATGTTGCCCGGGGTAAGACAGCAGCTAAGCCTCTCAGAGAGGAGCCAAGTAGCTGCGCACCAGAGGGCACTGGACACTAAGCTTGCAACGCTGATGCTCCAAGTTGAGTTTCCAAGTAATGCAGATGAAAATAAACGGGTGTGTTTTCGGTCTCGCTGGGGGAGCCACGCCATGACGTACACCAAGCCCGCACAAAGACTTTCTAATGTGTAGGGCATTAATCTCAGGCCACGTCCACTCTGCTCCACCAATCAGAGGCCAGCAGCCTACTGGGAAAACAATGAATGTTCATTGTTGGTGGCTTTCAGGTGTGGGCTGAGGGCTTAGAATTCATTCAGCCTGGAGATACCTCAGCCACCCAGCTGTCAATCAAGACCATTCTCGAATGTGACATCTGCACCTGCGGTTTGGGACTTGGGCTCCATGTGCATGTGTGACTTTTTGGCGTCTTCATTTTAAAGCAGGGCCCCCAGTGGTGTTATCTGCGTAGGACAGACATATTTGGTGAGCAGCTGGCCGCGGCTCTTTCGGAAAATGCCGAGTGCCTTCTCCAGGCTGGGGGTGAAGAGGCTCTGACTGTACTGTTGGGTAATCAGCGTTTGCCCCGCCTTCCTTTCCATTGTGCAGTTGGCACTCTGAGCAGGATGGGAACTGGCAGTTCTGGGGTGGCAGGGGGTAAGGTTAGCAGTGTCTGCTCTTTATCATCTTTCTCTCTGTCTTATTTTCTCTCTCTCCTTCTCTGTCTCTCTCTCTCTATCTCTCTCCTTCTCTCTCTCTCTTTCTCAGTTTCCTCTCTGCCTTTACATTTTCAATTTCAATTTCAAGTTTCTTTCCTGGCATGGCATACACAAAGCAGTGTTTCCAGTGCGGGGAACAACATATAATATGCAACGAGTCTGTGTGTCTATAACTCTCCCTCTCTTCCTCTCTCTCTCCCCGAGTGACAGGGTGGTTTTCAGTGCCACTTTTGGTCCTTTGCCAAACGTCATTTTTTCATTTCTCCTGCAGTTACTCCATTGCAGAGCCAAGTAAGACAGGGAGCGTGAAAGCCAAACTGGATCACGTATTTCTACCAGGCCTCAATGTACCAGTGAGTGATTGTGGGTATTAACATGATACACGTCTCATGCAGACAGTGTACTGCAGCACTCTGTGGTCTGTTTCAATGTGGCAGCCGTTACGTCTGATTCCCTCACATAAGTGTGCCGGGGACCGTTTGCTAACCATTTACACTAATCTACACTTCTAAATTTTGGTCACTTTTCATTCCGTACTGGGGAAATGAAATCAAACTATTTGAACAAGTTTTGACATTTCGTGTGAAAGTTTGTAATATGAAATATGTGTATAGATATAGTATATATACCACACACACATACACACAATATGTAGATATAGTATATATACTACTCAAACATGTATTCACAGTATATATGTATGTATGTAAGTATGTATACATGTAACTAATTCAGGCAGTGTACATGTAGCTAATTCAGGCAGTATACATGTAACTAATTTAGGCAGTGTACATGTAGCTAATTCAGGCAGTATACATGGAACTAATTCAGGTCTTTGCTGGTTTGTCAAGCCTATATTGAGACATGTAAAACTGACGTTAGGCCCCTATTACACAGATCAAGTTGTGTTTTATTTAAAGCAGCCAGTGCTTATTTTAAACAGGGTTGAAGATGTGGTAAAACAGGCTCTGAAGATGAGATGAGTT